AACCATTCAATCACAAAGCTCATGTCTACTCTCCTCCCACAACAAATCACAGGTGGGTCCCCAAAAACAGACCCACCAAGACTGAAACTGAAAGATGGGTCCCCAAAAACAGACCCACCAAGACTGAAACGGAAAGGTGGGTTCCCAAAAACAGATCTATTAAAACTGAAACCGCCAAGTGGGTCCCCAAAAACGGACTCACCAAAACGGAAACTGCTAAGTGGGCTCCAAAAACAAGACCCACTGCAAAGGCAAATCTGGCTGTTAGAGAGCCCGCAAGAGAAAAATCATTTGTTGAGAAAGCTGCTGACCTTGGATCACAGCTGAAAGCAAGATTCAAAAAGGTGTTTTCTGTTGATAAGGAAGGACCCATCCCAAGGTGGGTACCTAAACCTGTTTAATTGTTTTGCAGGACGGTCATGTGTGGCACTTGGATTCTGGATGCTCAACCCACATGACCGGAATAAAACACCTCTTGAGCAACTACACCAACTGTTACGGAGGCAACGTCAGATTTGGGAACGACACCTCATCTCCCATTCTTGGATATGGGGATGTCATCTGTGCCAGTGTCACCATCAAGGATGTTTCTTTTGTTAAAGGGCTCAAACACAATTTACTGAGCATAGGACAATTCTGTGACAGCGGGATGGAAGTGAGGTTCTTTGCCAGACAATGTTGTGTGCTAGACAGCATTGGGAACTCATTATTAACGTGTTACAGGACATCAAATCTGTACACGATTGATCTGAAAAGCGTACAATCCACCACTTCCATCTGTCTGCTGTCCAAAGCTTCCACAGAACAGAACAACCTTTGGCACAAACATCTTTCCCATCTGAACTTCAAGCATTTGTCAATCTTGTCCTCCAAGAAACTTGTGAAAGGGCTTCCTCTGTTAAAGTCTTCCGCTTAAAATCATTGTAGTGCCTGCAAAATGGGAAAAATGACGCGAAGCTCCCACAAGCCAAAAACAAATCCATCATCTACTCACCCGATGTAGTTAATTCACATGGATCTGTGTGGACCTATGAGAGTCCAAAGCATCAACGGTTGGAAATACACTCTGGTGATCGTTGATGATTTCTCAAGGTACACATGGACGAAATTTCTTCGTTCAAAGGACGAGGCAGCAGAAAACATTGTGACCTTCATCAGAACCATCCAGAAACTGCTACAGCACAGTGTTCGAATAATTAGAACTGACAACGGTACTGAGTTCAAAAATCAAACTCACTGATTTCTATGAATCTCTCGGTATCACTCAGCAATTTGCAGCAGCCAAAACTCCCCAACAGAACGGAGTTGTTGAGAGAAAGAACATGACTCTTGTTGAAGCAGCACGCACCATGCTAATCCAATCCAGACTGCCTCATTTCATGTGGGCAGAGGCAATCAATACTGCGTGCTACACCCAGAACAGAACATGCATTCATAAACGCTTCGACAAGACTCCTTATGAAATTCTATTCAACAGAACTCCCGATATCTCTTTCTTCAAGATATTTGGCTGCAAGTGTTTCATACTGAACGATCGAACAGAAAGAAGTAAGCTGGACCCCAAAGCCAGAGAAGGCGTGTTTATCGGCTACTCACTGCAGTCCAAAGCTTACAGGGTCTATCTAAGAGACAAGCGAACAGTCATCGAGAGTGTGAATGTTACATTCTATGAAATGGCTGACTTCGCGACTGAACATTTACAGGCTTATCCAACACATGTTGTACCAGAGGCTTCTGATAAAGCTGATTCGAACTCAGAAATTGAAGGTGTGATTCTTAATTCTCTCTTCAGAAACTTCTACGAGAATTCACAACCTTCATCTCCTCCATGCACACCAGCTTCAACATCAACAGCTCCGCAGCAACCTACTCCCACAGCTGAGATTCCACTTCTTACCGGTCCAGGTGATGTACCATCTACGCCTTCGACTCCTCAATCAAATCACAGCGGAGTGGATGATCATGGTTTTGCTACAACGCCAGAATCATCTCCACCGCACACCACAGCTGTTCAAGAGACGTCAATCCCCTATCAGGACTCAGAGCAACCAATCATCACTCCAACTCCTCTGGCTCATGAGAGGAAATGGACGAAAGCACATCCTGTTGATCAAATAATAGGTGATCCGAGTCAAGGTGTGCGCACAGGATCCGCCACGGTAAATGAATGCCACTTCGCCTGTTTCCTAAGCCAGACTAAACCATCAAAGGTTTCCGAAGCACTACTTGATCCAGATTGGGTGATTGCAATGCAAGATGAACTCAATCAATTTGACAGACTGGATGTATGGACACTCGTACCTAAGCCACAGAAAAAGACCATCATTGGCACGAAGTGGATTTTCAAAAACAAGAGAGATGAAGAAGGGACAGTTGTACGAAACAAGGCAAGGCTGGTCGCAAAGGGATACAATCAGAAAGAAGGCATAGACTATGATGAAACGTTCGCGCCCGTAGCAAGAATTGAAGCAATCCGCCTCTTTTTTGCGTACGCGGCTCACAGGAACTTCACCGTCTTTCAGATGGACGTGAAGACAGCCTTTCTAAATGGAATTTTAGAAGAAGAAGTCTATGTTGCTCAACCCGAAGGATTTGTAGACCCAAGATTCCCAGATCATGTATACAAGCTCAAGAAAGCTTTCTACGGGCTGAAACAGGCACCAAGAGCTTGGTATGATGCCTTGACCGAATTTATGGTTGATTCAGGTTTCTCTAAAGGTAAGATTGATACTACACTGTTCATCAAGCGACATAAATCTGATATTATTCTGATTCAGATCTATGTCGATGACATCATCTTTGCCTCATCCAATCCGCGTCTGTACAAACATTTCGAGAAACTGATGAAAACAAAGTTCGAGATGAGCATGATGGGCGAACTGAATTTCTTCCTAGGCCTGCAAGTACGACAACTATCTGATGACATTTTCATCAACCATTCAAAATATATTCTGGAAATGCTCAAGAGATTCAACATTGACGGCAAATCTTCCATGATGACCCCTATGTCCCCAAATAATAAACTGGACTCAGACCCCTCCGGGAAGCCAGTTGATGCTACAAACTACAGGGCCATCATTGGATCGTTGCTGTATCTCACGTCTAGCAGGCCTGACATTGTATTCTCCACATGCTTATGTGCTCGATCTCAAGCTAATCCGAAGGAATCCCATTTGACTGTTGTGCGCAGAATCTTAAGATACCTTAAAGGCACTGTGAATCTAGGCCTTTGGTATCCAAAGCATTCAGGTTTTGACCTAGTCGGATATTCGGACGCTGATTTTGCAGGTTGCAGGATGGACCGCAAGAGTACATCGGGAGCCATCCAGTTCTTGGGTGAGAAGTTGGTCTGCTGGTCTTCCAAGAAGGAGAATTGTGTGTCAACATCTACAGCTGAGGCCGAATACGTCGCGGCTATTAGTTGTTGTTCACAAATATTATGGATGAAGACTCAGCTCAAAGACTACGATTACACATTCCGCCATATCCCGATCTACAGTGATTCACAGAGCGCCATCGCCATCACCAGCAACCCAGTACACCACTCCCGCACCAAACACATCGACCTGCGCTATCACTTCATCAAGGACCACGTGGAAAAAGGAGATATTGATATGTATTTTGTAAGCTCAGAACTTCAATTGGTTGACTTGTTTACTAATGCATTGGATGAAAAACGATTCCAGTTCCTAGTCTCCAAGTTGGGCATGTTGAACCTCGAGCCTTTTTAATTTTATCTCCACTGGTCCGGAAAGAGTGTGTGTGTGTGGGACTTGTAAAAAGCGTGTGTGGGTGTGACCTGTAAATAGTGTGTGTGCGTTGCATGTGTTGAGGGGGAGAAAATCAGAAAAAGAACAAAAAATAGTGTGTGTGTGCGTTGCATATGTTGAGGGGGAGAAAATCAGAAAAAGATCAAAAATTTGTGTGTGTGCGTTGCTTGTGTCAAGGGGGAGAAAACCCAAAAAGAACAAAAAAAATAGTGTGCGTGAGTTGCATCTTGTGTATAGTGTGCATTGCATGTGTGTGTTACTTCTGTATTTTGTGTACTGCTCGAGGGGGAGGTTTTGAGTTTGCTTTTGGGTCTTAAATTTTCCTTATCTAAAGGGGTCCGGCACACCTATGGGCCTTAAAAAATTTCTCGCAAGGCCCATGGCCTAATTCTCGCATATAAAAAGGGGTTTTCGAGATCTGAGTTAGTCATCTTCTCATTTTGCTCGTTCTTCTCTCTGAACCTCAGGATCTCGACATCCCCTCCACCAACTCTGCTCTCCTTCTCGCATCTCTTTCCCCTTCCTTCTCAAGTCGCTATCATCAGGTATTCATGAGTCTCGTTCAGACAAATCATCTCCGAATCACATATTCTCTAACCTCTTCATCTTTCAAACCGTAATCTCGCAAAAGGCGAAATGAACGAACTCGAAAACCTGTGTCGATCATGATTGAATCTATGTCTTTGTATATTTGTATTTGTGTTTTTGCAGGTGGTTATCGTCATATATCTTCAAAAGAAAAAATCGAGACTCGAAATCTCAATGTGTAAAACTCAGGATCTCGCTCCCGTCGTTTGAACTTCGTGACGAGATCTCGAGGTTTAAACCTCGGGATCTAGATCTCGAGATTTAAAACTCGAGAGTGAGATCTCGAGATTTAAAACTCGAGATTGAGATCTCGAGATTTAAACCTCGAGATTGGTATCTCGAGATTTAAACCTCGAGATTGGTATCTCGAGATTTAAACCTCGAGATTGAGATCTCGAGATTTAAACCTCGAGATTGAGATCTCGAGATTTAAACCTCGAGATTAAGATCTCGAGATCTAAACCTCGAGATTGAGATCTCGAGATCCAAACCTCGAGATCCGGTTTTCGAGCTTTTGCCTTAGTCGATTTTGACCACCACTTCACCTGCACTCCACTTTTCGATAAACCAAAAACAGTTCATAAAATTTCAGGAAACAACAAAAATAACAAAGGACTTTTGCACTAACCCATGCTCTTTCAGCTCATTATGGCAGGCACCCAAAAGAGGCATAACATTGACGACGCCATCTATCCACAAGATAGGTGAATCAAGGTGCTGGACAACAACTTCCAGCTGGACCTGACTATTTTCAAATGTTAGGATCCGGTCATCCCCGGGATCATGAAGCGGCGCTATCTCTGGACCGCCCTCCACAAATCTAAGCCGGTGCCAGAAATCTACCTCCAACAGCTATGGGGACACATGCGCACCGAGTCCACAAAAGACCGCTCCAAAATCCTCACAAAGCTCAACAACATGAGGATGGTCCTGACACCAGCAACTCTATGCTCTACACTGGCGCTCCCGGTACAAGACAACTACGATCCTCTGTCATCTATTCCGGACCTTCTCAAAGATGTCACGGCACTGGGTTATGCCTCTCTACTCCCCAAACTGTCAAACTTCAATGGAGCCTACCTACATCGTCCGTGGAAGAGCTTGTTCGGGCTAGTCAACAAGTGCCTGTCACCAAAGCATGTCGGGCTTGACAAATGCAACAAGTAGATCCTCTGCGTCTACCACGGTATTGCATACAACAAGAACTACAACATGGCTCAGCTCTTCTTCTCATAGCTCATGGACCTGGTAAAAGCAAAGGAGAAGAACAGGTCAGGCACCATCTCATACGCCAGGTGGCTGGGGCTGATCATCCATGACTGCATGGCAGAGCACACCTCCATTCCTCGACGCGGTGACGATCCACACTTCACAGCCCCAAAGCTCCAATATTTCAAAGCTGACAAGAAAGCTCCTCAGGGACTGCGGATTCCAGATGTCCTACTGAATCTTGCAAACCAGACCAATCCTGCAGTCCTACAGTATAGAGAGATTGTAGAGAGAATTGTCCCTATGGTTCAGCAAAACCCAGCTGGACCTACCCAAGGGACCAATCCAAGTAAGGGTCCCAAGAGAGCCCCAAAGCCACAAAAGCCAGTGGCATGTCGGCCCGATGAAGGAGAGTCCGATGAATCTTCCAAGAGGACTCGGACGGTTGAGGGCAAACCGACGAACGCTGAGGAACCAACTGATGACTCGCTCAGCCCGGCCCACAAAGAGGCTGACAACGAGGCTTCCGATAGCGTGGCCAGAAGTGACGATGACGATGATGATGATGACGATGACATCGACGATGTTGAGCACACCTTTGCTCTCATCAAAAAAGGGAAGCTGCCTATTGAATCTCCTCCAAAGAAAATCTCCGTTGAGGATGCAGCCCCCATCATTGCTACACGCCCCAAGGAGCTCGTCATCAAGACCGTGGAGGCCGGTCATACTATAGCAAGAGCTACCGGCATCGTCAGGGAGCAACGCATCAAAGCTAAAAATGATGCTCCCCAGTCTCTCATCCCCAAGAAGCGGCGCCTCGTCAAAAGAAACCTAGTTGACGAGGACGACATGTATATCTTCGCCGACTGTCAACCCTTCATCAATATAAGCCGAGCTGAATCCTTAAGTACAGGAGCCGATCTTTTCGGTTTCCAAGTAGAAGCCACAGCATCTGGCTCAACTGTGCATGCACCACCCTCCCCTAGCCACTCGTTAGCCTCCCAACAGGCTAACGTTTCAAAATCGCGGGACTCACCCACCTCTCTGGTTCCTTCTGAACCAGTTGAGCGAATTAGTGGCCAACAGCCCGAGGCCACCACCTTTTCCTTGAGCACATCGAGTCTAGGTGTCACACTCCCTACATTTTCTAATTTTTCTAGGACACCTACACTATTCACCGCACATACAGGTGCACGCACCCTGGAAGCAATGACCAGAGTGCAAATGATGACGGTCGAAAGCCCTGCTACGCCCACAATGATTCCATCATTGAATGCAGGCCACACATCAGCCCTCTTCACTGATGCTGTGACAACAGTTACAACCCCTGTAACTGAACACCTCACTACCGAAGACGTTACCGTTCTTATGCATCGTTTCATGGATTCCACCATTAAGCCATGGGTGCAACAAGCATTTACCGCTTGGGCACATGAATCCAAGACCACCCCGGCGGTGCATAGTGAACACAGCCAGCCTGAACCACACCCATCACCTTCTCACTCCCAATCTCAACCCTCTCCAGTCATCTCCGCCACCTCCACCAAAGCCCATAGCCCTACCTCTTCTCGGGGAACCCATTATACAGACCAAGTATCATCCCCACACCCGACCACACCTCCCATTGAACTACTTTCCCAACCCTTCGAGGTCCTGGCATCGGCCTTGCTGGATCATCTCCTTAACATACCTCACACCGATCTCACTCCCTACCAGCAAGGCATCCTTACTGCCCTTCTCTCTGATCCGGACACCAAGGGCACCTGCCGTGAAAGTCTCCGTGGTCGCAAACGTTCACATGAGGATCCCGACGATCCCAAACCTCATGAGGGGGAGAACAAGAGGCCACGGATACTCGAGCAAGGTGCCTCTACCAGCCACACCCCCAAACCGAACAACTCGAGACTTCCACTAACCAACCACCACCTACCTCTAGCCAAAACCAAGTCCATCTCTCTAGCGTGGTCGAGCTAGATGAAACATCCCGAGGCTTATCTCCTAGAGATATTGTTTGAGGAGGGGGTGGAAGTCTTGGTGATGCTACTGCGAGTACATCCTTAAAATCAGGCCATCAGTCAGAACCCAGTTCTAAGCTGATGTCAACGGGCAATCCGAGTGAACCCGATTGTGCTACCCAAGAACAATCACCGCTCCAACAGCAGCAAAGAGTTCCATACATTCCCCCAGGCAAGGACATCCACGACGCACTGGAGGATGCGGTGATACATGATAAATGTACGAGGAAGAGATATTTAAAGCTGATGATTGACCATGCGAGTATCTTTACGCCCCCAAAATAGCAAGTCGGAGGACCAAACGGTCAAGTCAACAGTACATGCATTTAATGAAGCTGTCTTCTACACTCCAACGGGAAGACTGCTCCCAGTATATAAGATACACTCTGAAGAACTAAGAAGATAACTTTTGCCATAACTTTGCCAAGATAAATTTGCATAAACAACCTTCTTGAGATTAAAACTCCATTCCTAACAAGAAAAGGCCACAGTTGGAAGATAAACTTTCGTATCCTTCATCCAACTAGCAAAGACAAAGTTACTCAGTTCTTCAACACTTCGAGAGCTTCATATACTCATCTTTTGTGAAGAAGCAACGTTGGAGAAAACTGATTCTATATCAAACACTTCTTGAGAAAGAAGGGACGTCTCAAATTAGCTGGAGTAAGTGAAGTGGAGATACTTCAAGAGACTCAGTGAAACGAGACCAGCCATCAGGAAGCAGGACTGCATCCCGGGTGGCAACTAGACTTGAAGAAGACGAGGAGTGCTTCTTAAGCTCTAGGGACTAAGGCGTTGTAAACTGTTGTTTTTGCAAGCTTAGTGGAACAGTGGACTAGAGGAACGAGTTGTTCCTTGAACCACTATAAAAACCCCAGTGTCATTTACTTTCAGCTTTTATTTTCTGCACTTAAGATTCTACCGACTAACTCTTAAGGTTGGACTCTGTGTCCAGCAGATCTTCCTTCAGAGTTATCAGAAAGGCACTTTGCCTTAGCTTTCTTCTAGAGGCTACCCGGACAGAAACTTATCCGCTGCCTGGTCTAGTTCTGCCATCAGAACTTGACCATCTCTGTCACCAGATTTCGACCATCTCTGATAAGTCAGACTTGACTTGGAGAAAAGTTTAAATTCCTGAACAGTCTATTCACCCCCCCCCCCCCCTCTAGACTGTTCCCATTACAAACTGGACCAACAAGTGGTATCAGAGCCTCCTTGTTCTTGTAATCTTTTAGGTTACTTACTAAACAAGAGATCCACTTGTTTTAGCCTCTTTAACCTCATATTATGGATAACACTCTTTCAAAGAATCTTATGTTCTCAGTAACAAAGTTTGATGACTGGAGGATCCGCATGAAAGCTCACCTCTGCGCACTCCATGACGAAATGTGGGAAGTTCTTGATGCAGGACCTTTCACAGAGTTCACCAAGGTCAACCCTGAATATATCACTGGTAGTGGTCAACCCCAAATGATCACCAAATTGCGCCATGAATGGTCCAATGAAGAGAGGAGGAAGTACAACCTTGACAACATTGCCAAGGATATCCTCTACAAAGCCATTGATGACAAGTACTTCACAAGGATCAAAAAGTGCAAATCTGCCAAGGAAATCTGGGATACTCTTACACTGATAGGAGCTGGAGATGAGCAAGAAAAGGACAACAAACTTACTATTGCCATGAAGAAGTTTGAAGATTTCAAACTTCTACCCAAAGAATGCATAGCTGAGATGTATGCACGCTTGCTCACCCTCACTGTTGAGATATCAGAACTTGGGAAGGAACTTACTCCCAAAGAGATCAACTTGAAGGTTCTCAGAGGTCTACCTTCACCATGGAAGATGAAGGTCACTGCCATGAGAGATAGCAAGGACCTCAGAACCTACAACACTGAGAAACTCATCTCTGATCTCAAGTCCTATGAGTTTGAGATGAATGAAGAGGAGAAAGAAGAGGACAGAACAACTACTGCTCTCACTGCCAGCACCTCTCAGGTAAATAATTTTGACCCTTCTATTCTTTTAACTGACGAGTATATGGCGGCTTTTGCTAGGAAGTTCAGGAAATTCTTAAAGCCAAAGGATAGCAGAAGTCCACACTCTAGCAGAAAGCCACACCAGAAGTCCAAACCATCAGAAAGTAGTGGAGAGCTTCTCTGCTACAACTGCAGACAACCAGGGCACTTCAAAGTCAATTGTCCACACCCCATAGTCTCCAAAAGGCAAGGCCAGGAAGGAGAAAAGAAATACGAGCACCGAAGAAGGAAAGCACTCATCACTGAACAACCAGAGAAGGACCCCCTCTCTGAGACAGAGTCCAGCTCGGAATCAGAATCTGATGAAGCATTCTGCTGCCTGGACACAGAAACTGAAGACCTATGCCTTATGGGTCAATCTGATGACGAGGTATCTTCTACTTCCAACTCTAGTTTTTCTTCGGTAGGCAGAGCCTTTGATTCTGATTCAATGTCAGAATTTTGGGAAGAGTTTCAAGCCATACAAACCACTTATTCTTCTGTTAAAGAAGAAAACAGTAAGCTTAAGGTTGAAATCCTTGACTTAAGAAAGGAGGTTGAGATCAAAATCAATCTTCTAATTAAGGAAAGAGATCAGCTGGAAGCTGAAAATGTTTCTCTTCTAAAGAGAATAAGAGAGATAGAGCCTCTTGAGATTAAGTACAAAGCTTACCAGAAGGCCCAGTCTTCCATGGAAAAGATTGTACTTGACCAACAAATTGGCACTGGTTTTGGTCTTGGTTATGGCTCAACAGAATCAGGTGAGCCTTCTGTAATGCCTAGCACCAGAGTTGCTAAGGCAGACAAGGTCATAGTGCCACTGATTTCTAGCCCCATTTGTCAGGCTGGTGTATATGGCACCAAGGTTATTCATGAGAATGTCAGACCAGAAAAGGAAAAGATAAAGGTTCAACAGAAACCCATTTTAAAAGTTAATGAACCTGGCAGAAGACCTAACAACAGGAAAGATTTTCAGAATACCAAAAATCAAAGACAAAACCATAACAGACAAACTCATGATAATCAAGTCAGAAATGATCACCAGAAAGGCAGATATCAAGAGAAAGTTAACTTTAGGCAGAAAAGGTTGGCTGGTCAACTTAAGAAGCACAAAGTTAATCGCCCCTCTGATCTTGATAATATTTGGGACTTCTACCCAACTAAAAAGGCTATGCAGAAGTATGTAAACCGGAAGCATGATCCTCATAAGCATCTGCCCAAAGTGAATCACACTTCCGTTTACTATGACTACCAGGTGGACAATGGGTACCACCCATCAAGGTTTCACTTGATGAGACCAAAGTGGTACCGGCTGCCAAGACTGCATAACCCCCTAGGACCCAACATTGCTTGGGTACCTAAATCTTCCTTTTAATTTTGTAGGAACTGTGTGCTGGAGCCATCTCTGAACAAGATTGGTACATTGATAGTGGATGCTCCAGGCACATGACAGGTGACAAGAGTTGCCTAACAGAGTTCCAGAAAGTCAAAGGGCCTAGAGTTACCTTTGGAGGTAATGATAAAGATGGCCAGACAAAAGGAAGAGGGAAGCTGATAAAGAACCAGATAATCATTGATGACGTCTCTTATGTCAAGGGATTGAAATTCAACTTGCTGAGTGCTAGCCAATTCTGTGACAAAGGCTACACAGTTGAATTCTCCAAGGAAGGATGTTCTGTCAAGCATGAGACAACTAAAGAAGTGGTTCTAACAGCAACAAGGAAGAAAAACATCTATGTAGTTGATTGGTCAACTGCAAAAGATGGAATTTGCCTGATAGCCAAAGGAGATTCAAAACTCAGTTGGGAATGGCACAAGAAACTGAGCCACTTGAATTTCAAAACAATCAACAAACTGGCAAGGGATCACATTGTTGAAGGTCTACCCAACCTTGTATACAAAAAGGAGAACTTGTGCAGTGCATGCCAGAAAGGAAAACAAGTGAAGAACTCATTCAGACCCATTGCTGGAAACCTATCTACTGGTCCTCTGAATCTAATCCACATGGATTTATTTGGACCAGTGGAAACTCCAAGTGTCGGTGGCAAGAGATACACCTTAGTCATGGTGGATGACTACTCCAGATTCACATGGACCATTTTTCTGACCAAGAAAAATGAAACTCTGCAGAAACTACCATCTCTGCTAAAGCTACTACAGAATGAGCAGAATCAGAAAGTCAAAGCCATCAGATCAGACAGAGGAACAGAGTTCGTCAACAAGGTCATACAGGATTTCTGTGACCAGAATGGTACAATGCATCAACTCTCTGCTGCCAGAACTCCTCAACAAAATGGAGTTGCAGAAAGAAGAAATAGAACATTAAAGGAAGCTGCAAGGACCATGATTTCTAAATCAGGTCTACCCTACAGATACTGGGCTGAAGCAATCAATACTGCATGCTACACCCAGAACAGGAGCATGATTCACAAGACTCATCAGAAAACTCCTTATGAATTATGGAAAGGACGAAAACCCAACATCAGCTACTTTCATGCATTTGGATGCAAATGCTACATACTCAACAATGGGAAGGATCACCTCAAGGTGTTTCAAGAAAAAGCTGATGAAGGAACATTCTTAGGCTACTCTAGCACCAGTAAAGCCTATAGAATACTCAACAAAAGAACTCTACTTGTTGAAGAATCGATTCATGTCAAGTTTGATGATCTCAACTCTGTTGAGAGCATAACTGAAAACTTGGAGAAAGCAAATCTAGAAGAATCACCTGAACTGGATCCACCAGAGACGGATACACCAGAGTTGCTAACTAACTCTGCCATACCAATTCACCATCAGAATCCCATTCTACAAGGCAAAGAGAGTGATGAAGAATCAGAAGAAGATCAAGAGAATCCAAGACAACCCCTATCTGAACCTGATCTAACTTGGTTAAGAGATCATCCTCCTAATAAAGTGATTGGACAAATCAGAAGTGGAGTCCAGACCAGATCCACATCAAGGAGAGAAGCAATGCTTGCCTGCTATATATCTCAGATGGAACCTATGACAGTTGAAGAAGCTCTTGCAGACTCAGATTGGATCAATGCTATGCAAGAAGAGCTCACTCAGTTTGAAATGAACAAAGTATGGGAACTTGTTTCTAGGCCAAAGCACCAGAATGTCATTGGAACCAAATGGGTATTCAAGAACAAAGCAGATGAAGACGGCAACATTGTAAGAAATAAAGCTAGGCTGGTAGCCAAGGGATACTGCCAAGAAGAAGGAATAGATTTTGATGAGACTTTTGCACCAGTTGCCAGACTTGAAGCCATCAGAATATTTCTAGCCTATGCTGCTTACAACAACATCAAGGTCTACCAGATGGATGTCAAGAGTGCATTTCTGAATGGAGATCTTGAAGAGGAAGTTTATGTGGAACAACCACCAGGTTTTGTCATTCCTACTCAATCTTCTTGTGTCTACAAGCTTAAAAAGGCCCTCTATGGTCTTAAGCAAGCTCCCAGAGCCTGGTATGACACATTGTCCCTTTTCCTAGTGAACCATGGGTTTACTAAAGGAAAGGTTGACAAAACTCTATTTCAAATCTCTGTTGCTAATCATATTCTGCTAGTACAAATATATGTTGATGACATTATATTTGGTAGTACTAATCCAGAACCGTGCAAGAAATTTTCTCAAGTGATGCAGAGTCAATTTGAAATGAGTATGATGGGAGAACTCAGTTACTTCCTAGGACTTCAAGTCAAACAAATTCCAGAAGGGATCTTTATCAACCAAGGGAAGTACACCAGAGATCTGATCAAGAAGTTTGGAGTGGAAGGCAAATCATCAGTGAAGATTCCCATGAACACTTCACAAGGGATTGGTCCAGATGATGAAGGAAAGGATGTAGATGCAACAACATACAGAGGAATCATAGGATCTCTACTGTACCTGACTGCAAGCAGACCAGATATCTCATTCTCTGTTGGAATCTGTGCCAGATACCAATCAAAGCCTAAGGAAAGCCATCTAAGTGCTGCAAAGAGAATCATCAGATACATCAAAGGAAATCCAAATGCAGGCTTATGGTATCCCAAAGGAGGTAACTTTGAACTAATTGGTTATTCTGACTCAGATTTTGCAGGTTGCAGACTAGACAGAAAGAGCACCTCTGGTCACTGCCAATTGCTAGGAGGAAGGCTTGTTTCCTGGTTTAGCAAGAAGCAGAACTCCATCTCAACCAGTACAACTGAAGCTGAGTACATTGCAGCTGGGAGTTGCTGTGCTCAGTTACTCTGGATGAAGCAACAACTGAAGGACTATGGAATTCAAGCAAAGGAGATCAAGCTGTTGTGTGACAACACCAGTGCTATTGCTATCACTCAGAATCCAGTTCTTCACTCCAGGACAAAGCACATTGAGATCAGACATCACTTCATCAGAGATCATGTTGAGAAGAAGCATATCTGTATGGAACATGTACCTACAGAGGATCAACTTGCAGACATTCTAACCAAGCCTTTACCTGAGGCAAGGTTTAACAAGCTAAGGGAAGAATTGGGAATGATGGATGATCTTCCCAGAGATGCATGAACCAGAGATTCACTGAACCAGAACTGCTTACTTCTGCATCAGAAACTCGGATCAGAGAACCTCTATCTCTGATCATCAGAATCTCACATCAGAGAACCTCCCCTTCTCTGACCAGAGTTCCTCAACCGAAAGACAACAGATATGGATGTGGAGTTAGCAATATTTCGAGGTACGGGCAAGACCTAATTAACTGAAACGGTCTTTTACCAAAATACCCCTGATCGTTACTCTTCTAACGGAAACGTTTTCCGCCCGCATTTCATTAAATGCTGCCTCGAAACTACCAATATACCAAACGTCCACTATTCCTAACTCCTTTATATCCACCGTCTTCGACCCAAATCCCTACTGCAACTTCATCTCTCTTAAACTGCTCTAGCATTCAAAGCCTTCAGATCCCAAAACTTTCCAATCCCCAGAACTTTTCTTAACCGTCACTCAAAATGAACTTCCTGAACATCAACGACCTTTCTAAGGAAGAAGCAAAAACTCTCATCGCCAACGTTGTATCCGGCATGAAGGTTGACATGTCGTCCCTACCCCTCCTTGCAGAAAACCAGAAGAGGATGACCAAGATCATCCAAGGGATGACTGATTCACAACTGTCTAAGGTTGTTGCTCATCCCTATGAGCACTTCAGCATCAAGGATGTGGCTGAGTTCTACCTCAACGCCACCATCTCCAAGACCGGAGTTCACTCCTCCGTACAGGGTCAACGCATCTTCTTGAATGCAGATGCACTTAATGAATTCTTTGGAGTTCAACTTGACTCCCAAGACCCGGAAGCCAACAATCTTACTGCTCTTGACTCAGTGGAAGTCTCCACTGAAGGCTTTGTTCAGACATACTGCCGTCTGGAGGCTGCCGGACTGGACAAACTCTACATGAAGAAATTTCTACTGAAAAAGGACTTTGAGAAGCTTGTCACCATTCTGCACCGATGCTTGTGGTGCAAAACAGCCTCAACTGATGAGATGAACAAGAACAATGCAAAGGCAATCTTTGCAGTTCACCATGGCATGAACATCAACTGGAGAGAGGTAATCTTTGGCTCCCTAACTGAGTTCATCAAGAAGAAAGACTCTGAAACAGGTCTTTTCTCAACCAAGATGGGACATGGTCTTCTCATCTCTGCCATCCTTGCTGCAAAAGGAGTTCAACTCAGGGATCCCATCCCAGTTGATCACTCCAAGACCATCTTCCTCACAGTCTCTCCAAAATTCAATATTGCCATCTCTTCTGAACTTAGGAGAGAGGAAAGGCTGGAGAAGAAAAGGGAAGAACAGACTGCTAAGGCCAAACCTGCTGCCAAGAAAGTTACCAAAAAGCCCAAACAACCTGAGCAGTCACAGGTTGTAAGGGAGGTCAGACAGAAGAAGAAAAGTGACAATCTGTCACTACCAGAGGAGGAAACAGCAGAAGAGGTTGCACCAGAGTTGCCCTCCCCAAAGGCAATCAGGAAATCTGCTGCCAGAAAACAGAAGCAGAAGAGGAGAAGAAAGATGATTGTGCAGAGTGGTGACTCTGACAACTCAACCACTCAACCAAGGCAGAAGAAGAGGAAAACTAAAGTAATCTCACCTGCCAAGGATTCAGCAATTCAGGGGGAACTTGCACCAGAATCTGGCACTCTACCAGAGACTTACCCAGAATCTGCACCAGAGTTGCCAAACTCTGCTCTCTCACCAGAGCGTGAAGCCTCACCAGAGATGGACCAAGAAACCGACTTCAACATCATTCTGCAAAAGCAGTTTGACAGAGTCCTAGCTTGGAGAAGATGGAGAATGGGACCTCTTCAACAAATCATCCAATACTTTGATGCCTATGAAGAAGAAGAAGCTGATGTTCTTCACTTGGTAGGCACAGATGATGTGTCAAAATGCTTCAATCTTACCTTTCTGATTTCTGTCCTACAAAAGAAGAAAGACAGATATCAAGGTAAAGCTCCAACATCTGATCTTTCTACAGAAAGGCATGTCAAAGCCTTGGAAGAAGAAGAAATGGAAGCATTTGATACTTGGCTGATGGAGAAGAAGAGAAAAGAATCAATGATCAAATTTCGCCATAGTGCTCTTGAGGAAGGAGAACCATCCACTGCGAATGACATTGCTCTGACTATGGAAAGTCTGATCAAGGAGTGGAGAGAATCCGTATTCTCTAAGATTGTTCTTGAGGTAATTCCTACACCTCCTCCTTCCCCTCCCCAATCTCCTATTACTCTACCCTCTCCCTCCAAATCTCCATCTAAACCTTTATCCCCACCTCACCAGAAAACCCCTTCACCAGAACAGAAAACCCCTTCACCAGAACAGAAAACCCCTTCACCAGAACAGAAAACCTCACCCTCCACCAGAACACCATCTCACAAGAAACCCAACTCCAGACCCTCTTCACCGTGCAAACAACCCTCATTTACCAGAAATCGATCACCTTCACCCCCTCCATCTGTCAGATAAAGTTACTGCACTAACCGAGAATCTGCACAACTTCATGCATTCGTCTTCCTCAAGGATTGATTCTGTCTCCAGAGATGTTAGTGGACTCAACTCTGTTCTCCACTCTCACTCTCAAGCTCTGCTTGCCCAGAATCAGACAATCAACAAGATCTCAGAATCTGTTCACATCCTTCAGAAATCTGCTGATAGTTCCTCCCAGAAACTCAACATCTTACACTCCCTCTGCAAGGAACATCAAGAGCAAGGCCTAGCTCTTCTCAAATCTGACAGAGAAAGGTACCAGAAGATGGTGCTCCTAGAGGTCAGCACCAGGGATCTTCAATCTGCAGTAGACAAGCAACAAAGCCTGATTGAAGGACTTGCCTCTGTCACTCAAACTCTGCCAGAAACCCTGGATGAAATCAGAGATGCTCAAGCCTCTGAGTTCTCCAAGATTGAACTTCTCCTTGGTAATCTTTGTGATGCCAAAAAGGGGGAAGATACCAGAGAAGAAGGACCCAGCACCAGAGCTCTTTCTATCAGAGAACCCTCTTCTGTTGATCCTACTCCTTATTTTGATGCTACCAGAAAGAAAAGGCTAGCTGCTACAGGCACCAGACCCCCACCTCCTCCTCCTAGAAGCTCAAAGAAAAAGCCTTCATCCTTTTCATTCACTGATTGGATGAAGAGTGGTCTGTCAAGGCCAGATAGAGTTCAATTTGAACATATGAGGAAATTGATGACTCCTCTTCAAAGAGAGAATCTGTTCATGGAGAATGATGGACTTGTCCAGATCAACCATGGTGGTTCGATCCAAGAAGCTGAGATGTGGTACGGAATGAAGATTCTGAATGGCAAGAATTATGCAGAAGCTGTCAGAAACTATTTGGATTGCAAACTTGCACCCCATTGGGCTGACTATCAGAATCCGAGGGATCTAGCCTCAATCAGAGCAAAGGTAAATGCTGAACTAGAGAGAATTGACAGAGCAGGACCACAGGTAGATGAAGAAGATCTCTAACTCTCCTTATCTGACTATGTAATGCTTTACTTTCTCTAACAGTTTAATAAGATACCAACTTTGCCTCTCTTTTTGCTTGGCTCTTTTCATATATCTGTTCTTATTTACTTTCTTGTGTATATTCTGTTATCGTAATTGATTATTGCTATCTGATTGTATCGCACTCTTACTATTCTCCTATGCTAAGTTGCCCACCAAGATCTTAATGAAAAGTTTTTAACTTTATTTTTTTATGGTGAAAGGCACTTCTCTGGAAATAGCTAAAGGGTTTTGGCATCATAAAAAAGGGGGAAATTGTAAGGAATAAATGTATTTAGATTTTGATGATGCTAGGTTTACTAGGTTTTGAAAGTACCCCATTAGAAATTTTGTATTAGAATTTCTTTTGTAAGTTTTAGCTTAGTCTGCCTGCCAGAATTCCATCTTGCCTCTACCAGAGTTGCTCCCAGAGTTGCTCACCAGAGAAGCCATCAGAATCTGGTTATCAGAAAGATACCAGAATCGGCAACAGAGACGGACTTCAGAGATTGGACCAGAGAACCTCTTCAGACGCTGCTAAATCCACCAGATTCCGGAAGCCCTTCCAACGGTCGTTAAACTAACGGGAAATCCCCTAACGGTTACAAACCTTTCAACGGAAGCATGGCACTGTACACGCATTAAATGCACATTTAATGTTGTACGTACGAAGAGATATTTAAAGCTTATGATTGACCATGCGAGTATCTTTACGCCCCCAAAATAGCAAGTCGGAGGACCAAACGGTCAAGTCAACAGTACATGCATTTAATGAAGCTGTCTTCTACACTCCAACGGGAAGACTGCTCCCAGTATATAAGATACACTCTGAAGAACTAAGAAGATAACTTTTGCCATAACTTTGCCAAGATAAATTTGCATAAACAACTTTCTTGAGATTAAAACTCCATTCCTAACAAGAAAAGGCCACAGTTGGAAGATAAACTTTCGTATCCTTCATCCAACTAGCAAAGGCAAAGTTACTCAGTTCTTCAACACTTCGAGAGCTTCATATACTCATCTTTTGTGAAGAAGCAACGTTGGAGAAAACTGATTCTATATCAAACACTTCTTGAGAAAGAAGGGACGTCTCAAATTAGCTGGAGTAAGTGAAGTGGAGATACTTCAAGAGACTCAATGAAACGAGACCAGCCATCAAGAAGCAGGACTGCATCCCGGGTGGCAACTAGACTTGAAGAAGACGAGGAGTGCTTCTTAAGCTCTAGGGACTAAGGCGTTGTAAACTGTTGTTTTTGCAAGCTTAGTGGAACAGTGGACTAGAGGAACGAGTTGTTCCTTGAACCACTATAAAAACCCCGGTGTCATTTACTTTCAACTTTTATTTTCTGCACTTAAGATTCTACCGACTAACTCTTAAGGTTGGACTCTGTGTCCAGCAGATCTTCCTTCAGAGTTATCAGAAAGGCACTTTGCCTTAGCTTTCTTCTAGAGGCTACCCGGACAGAAACTTATCCGCTGCCTGGTCTAGTTCTGCCATCAGAACTTGACCATCTCTGTCACCAGATTTCGACCATCTCTGATAAGTCAGACTTGACTCGGAGAAAAGTTTAAATTCCTGAACATTCTATTCACCCCCCCCCCCTCTAGACTGTTCCCATTACAAACGGGACCAACAGTAATTGAAGTCCTTCTTCTTGGGAGATTGGCATTGTAACACCCCGGCCCCGTAGGTCCCGAGGTAGTTACTTCTGACCTCTAGTACTGTCCTCACAAACCGCCACTAGCCTTTTCCGCGCACTTTGTCCTCACTCGTGCGTGCCCTGAGAAACTTCCTAGGGGGTCACCCATCCCAAGACTACTCCCGTGCAAGCACGCTTAACTTTGGAGTTCTTGGCTAATGTGCTCCCTTAAAAGGAGATGCACCTTGTTGCTATGAGTAGTACTATTAATCCATTTAAATTAAATCTCAAGTGTTACAATCACCCCCACTTAGGAACGCAACGTCCTCGTTGCGTCCATAAACCAATCTCAATCATATCCCAGAATCGTTTCCCCTGCTAAGTGCCCGCCCGATATCCAACGGATCAGCACACTGTCGCAGGGTTGCTCTGATACCATTTGTAACACCCCGGCCCCGTAGGTCCCGAGGTAGTTACTTCTGACCTCTAATACTGTCCTCACAAACCGCCACTAGCCTTTTCCGCGCACTTTGTCCTCACTCGTGCGTGCCCTGAGAAACTTCCTAGGGGGTCACCCATCCCAAGACTACTCCCGTGCAAGCACGCTTAACTTTGGAGTTCTTGGCTAATGAGCTCCCTTAAAAGGAGATGCACCTTGTTGGTATGAGTAGTACTATTAATCCATTTAAATTAAATCTCAAGTGTTACAGTCATTCTTTAGCAAAGTGTCCTGGCTTTCCACATTTGAAACACTTCAATGAGTCACTGCTGACAGCCTTATCAGATGGTCTGCTGACTCTTTCAGAGTAGTTTGAGGAAGAAGTTCTTTGTTTGTTGTTTGTTGCAGGATTTCTGAATTTGGTGAACTTCTTGTTTATTTTCCTCGTCATGTTTGTTAGCAAAGCCAGCTCTTTCTTCAGATCATTAATCTCCAGGTCAGAATCAGACATATTCTTCTCTTCATCGGATGAGTCATCTTCAAAGGTAATTTTAGGGGCCTTATCTTTCTTCTTTTTCTCAGATGTAAGGAGGGAAAGTGTATCAACAATGTTCTTAGCTTTTGAAGAATTGACTTTTTCACGAATATCCTCAGAGAATTCACCTAGGCAGTCATAGAGGTTATGGATGGTCAGCTCATCTAGGTCTTTGTTTTGTCTGATTCGTTTGGCTGTTTTCTTCCATTCGGGCTTCAGAGACCTCAGGAAGCGAAGGTTAACTTCCATATTGGTTTTGCGGATATTGATTTTCTTCATCTCGTTAAGGACCATGAGAAATCGTTGATAGGTGTCCTCCAACTCTTCATCAGGTCTGGCAGCAAAGGAGTCATAAGTGGTCAGGGTGTGTGCTCGTTTGGACTTGATTCCAACATCAGTGCCTTGCATGATTTGATGAATTTCATTCCACAAATCCTTAGCAGTGTTAAGGCTATCAATTTGCATAAACAAGTCATTGGGAATGGCTTGTAACAGGTAAGTGGCAGCAAGTAGATCAGCCTTTGCACTCAGCTTCTCGGGTTCAGTGTAATCATCTTCAGATTTCAGTGCTTTACCTGCTGGTGTGGGAGGATTATTTGTGTCGATAGCTGGAACATCAACCCAAACTTCGAGTGGTCCTTCCTTAAGAGAAATGAGAATATTCTTTTCGTTGTCTCGGCTTCTAATGAAATTGAGAAAACGGACCTTCCAGACAGCAAATTCTCCTCTCCTAAGCAGAGGAGGTCTTGAATCACTTCCAAGCGTGTAAGCTTCCATGACTGTTGTTGATCTTAAGGCGAGAACTGTTCAGAAGAAATAAGATTTCGGTACTGCTTTAAAAGGATTTTCGGATCCTTGTTTCGGAAGAAGATTTCGGGTGCGTCCAAAATTAGAAACTCGGATGAATGTATTTCGGTTGTCCGAAATTGTTGGCTGATTTCGGATGTCCGAAATTTTAATCTCGGATGCACTGAATTTCGTCTGTCCGAAATTAGATGATCTCGGATGATGTCCAAGATCTAAAATAGGAAACCTGATTTCGGATGACCGAATTTAGAAACTCGGATGGTGAAGATGGTCTTCCAAATTTTTGAGGATCTCGGATCAGCGAAATTTTGGAAGATCTCGGATGACCGAAATTTGGTAACTCAATTTGTACTGGGATTCTTCTTCCATAGCTTTCCTTGCAGTAGAAACCTTCTAAAACGGTAAGTTTCCAAGAACAGATCTAGAGATTAATTCAATCAAAAATTGTGATTTTGATCAAATTAATTCCAGAAAAATTCAAGGAAACAGATGAACAGAATTGCGCCGAGGCTCTGATACCGATTGTGTGAAATATACCCAGATACAACAGTCGAATAATCTAAGAATATTGATAAGAATTTAAACAGTAGAAGAGAAATTCAACATCAACTTATACCGTGTATTCATAATGATGAATCGATGAAGAACAATACATGGTACTCGAACGTATCAGCTAGAGAGAGAATTCTAATCTACTGGTTCTACGGAGAATAATATGCGGAATAGAATGTGTAGAGACTTGAAGAGCAGATTCGGCCATCCCTAACTGTATTTATAGGAGAGATGTTCGAACTGCCTAATACAATTAGGAAACAATATGGGTCGTGCGTGTGGGCTATGTAGAGCATTTAAATCAGGCCTAATTCTCTCTCAGCTAATCTAATTAAGTACAAAGACTCATTAATTAAAGTCGACTAGGCCCTCGTACTTTACAAACACTCAATTAAGTCCTCGAACTATTAAAAAACGTTCAATTAAGCCCTTTCGGTCGGTAAGTAACCGGTTTCCCGGTTAAATGTAACCTGTTTCCTGAAAGTCGTTGTTGTTAGAGTTCGAGCACATCGTCGCCATCGTCGTTGTTTAACCGGGAAATCGGTTACTTACCCACCAAAAGGGCTTAATTGAACGTTTTTAATAGTTCGAGGACTTAATTGAGTGTTTGTAAAGTACGAGGGCCTAATCGACTTTTTCGGTATAGTACGGGGGCTTATTTGATAGTTTTCCCTTGATTAAATTACAATTAATTTGAACACAATAAAATAATATTCTAACACTAAGGGATTGGAATATGAATAGTGATGCCTTAAGTAGTCTTAAGAGATACTTTAAGGATGAATTGTATGAGCTCTAAGGTATGTCAGGGGTAAGCCTTAAAGGTTACTCTAAGTGAATGGATTCTAAGCATAGGATTTGTTTGAGAATCGAACTAAAATGATGAATTAGAGTCGGACTCTAGAATTACATGGAAACATAGTTGGGCTGAGCCCTTGCCATGTAATTATGAAGTACATGGAAACGTAGTTGGGCCGAGCCCTTGCCATGCATTAGTGAATATCATGGAAACGTAGTTGGGCCGAGCCCTTGCCATGAAATTGTAAGATTGCATAGAAATGTAGTTGAGCCGAG